CCCCATCCCAAAAGTTTCTCAGCGGATTTGSGCTGTACTCAGCAAGCGCAGTACAGCTTCTAACTCATGTCTGAAAACAAAATAGTGGATGGTTGTTTTCTGACTGGTCGGCAGACCGCCGACCGGTCGGCCCTACTGGTCGGCTGCAATACGGTCGGTGGTCGGGGTCGGGGGTCGGCGGTCGGCAGGGATGCAACCATGTTTTGAACAAAAAAAACACACCAGCCCCTTGTATTCTGGGGGGCGTACCCGCCGTACCGGCAAGCATGAGCTCAGAATGGACTCGACAAAAGAAAAGTGAAAAGGAGTCAACCCAGCCCTCGCAGTACTAGTCACCCACTCAAGGGGGGGGCTGCTACGAGCGGACCCCCCCCCCCCCCAAACCATAGCCTTCCTAGGGGCCATCTGATGGCCAGGAAGCTTACTAGCAGCACCCAGTCAAGCATCAGGTGGGCCTTAGGGAGGACAAGCCGCAGGGGAGGTCCTCCTAGCAGCCTCTCGGGTCGCAAGTCTCAAGTCTAGTCATACCCATTCGAACGAAAACAACCACACACACGAAAAAAGAAGAGAACAGCCACCATCTTTCTAACTATTCCTCTCCTCCCTACTACTACCCGTCATCCCTGCAGATATGTTTTTTTTCTATACTCTCCTGTCGTTCCCCCTATCAACCAGCAGGCTTTCCTTTCTCGCCGCACCCTATGTACTTCGCCGGCATTTTCATCATCCCCAACTTGCATCACCGAGCTTTTCCTTTTTGCAAATGTACCCGTCCTCCCCGTCCCCTCCCCTCCTCCCCCTGGTCCACAGAAGCCTTCCTTTTCTACCCAAACCTCCACCAGAGCCTAATGTGGCACAGTACCAAAAGTAGCTCCTCCTTAACTACCAATTCCTGCTTAAGCAGCTACCTATTGTACACTTCCGGTATCCCATCGCGGTCTCATGGATCTGATTTCGACAGGGCCGTCATTTCCGTTTTTTTTTATTTTTTTTATTTTTATTTTATTTGGAACATCTCTTGATTTATGCGTGTCATCCTTGCGCAGGGGCCATGCTAATCTTCTCTGTATCGTTCCTTTTCAAACTGCCTTTTCTTTTTTTTTTTTAACGGAACTGTTTGTGGTTGAAAATTTTGTGGACTTTACTGTAGACATCACCCTCCCAAAAGAGAGAGAGAGAGAGAGAGAGAGAGAGAGAGAGAGAGAGAGAGAGAGAGAGAGAGAGAGAGAGAGAGAGAGAGAGAGAGAGAGAGA